GGGTTCATAGACTTGGAAACTGAGGCCAAACTGAGGGGACCTACCCAACCACACATCTGGTCAAGGCAGCGTGAGGCCCTTTTGACTTTGCTGGTCCCTTTTTTACCCAAAATGCCACATCTGAGTAAGCAAGTGCCTACTGGCACTGTCATTGTGGTTACCACACATGAGGAACACGGCACAAAGGTGGGCATCACCACACTGTCAGTAAGGGATGCTTTTACCCTGCTGAGCTGTCTGGGGTCTCCAAAGAGGCCCAGAAAGCTCTGTGTGGACCCAGCTCCTCCATGGCCAGGCAGGATAGGGTCTCACCAGGCCCTTTGGTCCCGTGTCAGCATCTGCAAAGAGGCCAGAGGCCAGGTGTGGCCCTGGACCAAGCAAAGGACCCCACGTGCCCACCCCTTACAGTGGCCCTTGCTGGGGACTAATGACATGGCCTTTGGAGTCATCCAGACTTGGGTTAGAATCTCAGTCCTGCTACTTCCAGGCTGTGTGGATCAGTATAACAAAAACAGTAGCAGAACCGGGGATTGAACTCAGGTCCTTGCGCTTGCCAGGGAAGTGCATACTCCACTGAGCCATCTCCCCGGCCCCTGTTAACTCTTGTAGATACACATCTATTCACACAAAATACATGTATCAGTCATCTCCTGATCACACAGCCAAACTCACACTAACAGCAGGACCCCACAGAGTACCACCATGCTCACCTCAGACCGGGCACTGCCCACCCTTAATCCTCAACTAAGGCCTTTGATGCCAACACACTCTGGTCCCTCCTTCGGGACAGAACACACAGTCCCCAAGCAGGACCCACAGCCTCCTGGCTTCCCCACACTTCTGTGGCTTTGGGACCAGGAACGCTCTTCCTGTCCCTGCCAGGGGCAGCCAACCCAATGTCCACGGTCGGGGGTCTCCTCTCTGCAGCCCCCGCCAGGCTCCAAGTGCCAACTGAGCTGTGCTGGGGAAATCCCTGCTGCCTCTGAAACCAGTTGACTTTGAAAAGGAAGAGACAGAAGGGGGGGGGGTGGCTGGGCCACTCCCTTGGGGGCAGGTGCTAGTGACTCTATAAACTCTGGCTAATAATGCAATTACGGTCATAAACAGGGCCCCTGGAGAGACCAGGGCCACCAGGTCAGGAGCTAGACCCCTGCCCCAGGCTGCTCAGCAACAGGCTGGGGGGTGGGGGCTCCTGTCTGCCCTGGCCCCTGGGGCTGTTCACCTGGCCATCAGCCCCACCAAACCCTCCTGGCTCTCCTATTCAGGGCCTGCCCCAGCCAACCCAGGTCCACCCCCTCCCCATTCCTTCCTTGGGACCCAGAAAAAAGAAATGGGTCTGCATATGGCTCCACCTTACAGGTCCTGTTAGGGCCAAAACAGCCTCCAGCGGTCAGGCTGTGTGCACTAAGTAACACTGGCTCCCCTTGGGGAAGTCGCTTTGCGCTCTCACCAAGCAGCCAGACCCCCTCGGAGTCCCAGCACTCCAGCCTCAAGGGCCAGCAGGAGGCAGAAAGAAGGCGCCCAGCAAGTCGATAGCTTCCTCCAGCGGGGAGACTGAGGCGGGAGAGCCCCTCTGACGACCAGGCAAGGCCCCCAAGGCGGCCCACCCTCCCCTTTCACGCCTTTCCCGGCCAGTGACCAATGCTGGCTGTCACTCCGCAGACGGAGCTCCCCTAGGGCAGGGCCCCGAGAACGCGCGTCCCAACCTGACCCTGAGCCTGTCTGGAAGGACTCGGCCAAAGAACCAAGCCTGCGTCCCTCCGCCCTGAAGGAAACCAGGGCCTGCTCTCTGCAGCCCAGCGACCCGAGAGTATGTGGCGCCTGGGTAGGTGGAATCTGGCAGGGCAGTGCCGGGCCCCGGGCTACGACCCAGAGGCCTCTTCCGCGTCTGGATCGCGCACCTCCTCCGGAGCCGGCGGTCATGGGCCGACACTTCCCGGGGACCTAGCGCCGCGCCAGAGCGCAGCGCTCAAATTCAGTCTAGAAACTGTCGGCGCGGAACCAAGCCCGGCACAGACCGGCGAGAGGACTGCGGGGCGGGGCGGGGCCGGGGCAGGGCGGGCGCAGACGGCCGCACCCGGGCCCCCCTTCCTCCGGGGCGCACAGGGCGGCTGCGGCGCGAACCTGCTCGCGCAGCCCAGGGCGGCTCGGGGCAGCCGTGCGTGAATCCCAGCCCAGGCGGGAATGGGGGAGGTGGGGACCCAGGCGGCCTCGGCCCGATCCGAGGCAGGAACCGCGGCGCTGGGGAGGGCTCCGAGGTCGACATGGGGGCGCGGAGGGGGCGCCGCGGCGCTGCTCGGGCCCTGGAGGGGGCGCGCTTTCCTGGACGCTAGGCCAGGACAGAGCGGGAATGGGGGGATGGCGTGGGATGGGGGGCTGGGAGCCCCGACGGAAGTCAGAAGAGGGGCGCACGGAGGGTGCGGTACGGGGCTGGGGTTCCTGACGTCGCGGGAACCTGGAAGGAAAAAACTCTGCGCGGGATCCGCAAGGAGAAGAGTGGGGGCGCCGTTCGGAGTTGGGGCAAGGAGGGGGTCCCCAGCCCGCCCTGGGGCGTGGCCGCCCAGCCCCAAGCCCCGCGGCCCGCGCGCTCCCTGCCCCTCCCACGCGCCGCCCTCGCGGGTTACATAAGGGCGCGCGGCCGCCCCCGGCCCGGCCCGCAGGGGGAGGACGGAGAGGAGGAGAGGGACAGGGAGGAGGGCAGGGAGGAGGGGCGCGGGCCGGCGGATGCGGGGCGGCGGCGTGCGCTCCGCGCCCCTCTCTACTCGCACCCCCCTACCTGTCTCCGGGGCTGCGTGTGGAGGCCGGGCCCGGCTTTGGGGGTCCTGGGCCCGGCGCGCGCCCTGGCCTGGCCCGCTCACCTCGCTCTGAAGGTCAATCCGTCCGCCGCCTGCGCTCCACGGTTCCGGCAACTTCTCCTAAGTTCGGGTGCCCGACCCGCAAACTGCGTGCGTCGCCCGCTCCCGGGCTCCTGGGGCTACGCGCCACAGGAGAGTCCCCACCCCGCCCGCACACCCTTCCCGGTGCCGTCGGCGCCGCCGTTCCCTCCGTCCCGCCCGCCGGCCGCCGCCTCTGCTGTCACCGAGCCCCGCGCCCTGCGCCCGGCCTCCGGCTGTCACTGCGCGCCTACTTTCCGCTGCTCCCGGTAGAGGGCAGCACCCGCCCAGCGGTCCGGCCCGCCCATTGCAGCGGTGCAAGCGGGGAAATGTAGTCATCTACGCCCTGCGCTTGGCACGTCGGGATTTGTAGTCCCGCCCCATGGGCCAAGGGCTATAGACTCAACCTTTGGCTAAGAGTTTGATCCCCAGTACAAAAAAAAAGTTCTGTTTCGCTTCTGTTCTTTTGCAAGTTTGCTCTTCTCTTATTCAGTAATGTCTTGAACTGCGACTGTATGTTACCTACTGACTTGCATGCCTCAGCATACACCGTTTCTTGGGGGCCTGCCCATTAGCTCAGTTGTTTAAGTGATTGCTTAAACAAAGCAATCAGGATGCTGTGGTTCAACCCTCAAGCCTTACCAGACCTGCTCTGAAGGCATCCTGAGCCAGCCCCCCCCCCAAAAAAAAGTTAAACTACTGATATTTGGGGGCCAGAGAGATAGCTCAGTGGAATAAGCACTTCCCTGGCAAGCGCAAGGGCCTGAGTTCAATCCTTGGTTCTGCAAAAATAAAAACAAACAAAGAGAAAAAAAAAAGCATACACTGTTTCTTATAACGAGGAATGAGGGTGGAGGGGTCATATAGCTCAATAGAATAAGCGCTTGCCTGGCATGCGCAGGGTCCTGAGTTCAATGAGGGTGGAGTCTGCAAGGTGTGCTGTTGCCATAGAAACCGCTAGGTGGTAAAACCCAGTTTCTCCCCTGGTTGAAAGAAAGGTGCGGGACCCGGATGTTGACCTTTATCCGTGCCCCTGCATATAAGAGCTGTACTGTGAAATATGAGTACAGACAGAGCTCGCCTCCTGCACACGCACTCCCTGCTATGGGGTCCTCCTTCACACACGCACACGGACCCACACAGGCAGAGAGCTTCCTGGTGCCCCTCTACCATTCTGCTAGTCGGAATTTTTCTGATCTCTTTTCCTGACACCTCCCGTTGGAAGTCCAGGGTTGGAAGCCATCATCTTTGCTTTCTGTCCCTTCTCTTCCTTTTCCTCCTTCTCCCCACAGGACATTGCCCTGGGCTTCTGAGACTTTGCTAGGAAGCTCCTAGGGAGGACCTGAGCAGGACTCTTGCTGAGCTGGTTAGAGCAGGAGATTTTCACATGAATGCAAATCTCCCCCTTTCCCTCTTCTCTCCCCGTCTCCCTTGTCCACGTTGAAGGCTGGACTGCCTTCAAACACAAATTCTTGGACCTAGGAGTTGTCTGGGTCAAAGTGCAATCAACCTACCTCAGCCCTGTCCTTTTCTTTTTTTAAATCTTTTTATTTTATTTATTTGGTATGGCATGTGGTACTGGGGATCAAACCCGGGTCCTTGTGCCTGCCAGGCAGGCACTTAGACCACTGAGCTAGCTCCCCAGCCAGCCCTGTCCTTTTCTGCAGGTCGTTTCTGGCAACATCTTACCTCCTCAAGGACCCTAAGCTTGTGCCAAACACACAAAGGCTCGGAGCACTGTTCAGGAAATTCCAGCCCAAACTGATTAATACTGAGGAAACGGACACCTGTGTCTGGGGTGGATGTGCATGTGCCTGGTGGAGTCTGATGGAGTGGGCAGGCAGAGCACTTCAGGGAGGTGGGGTCACTGTCCCACCACAGTCCCCCCCACGCCATTACCCCATCTTTCCTTTCTGCAGAGAAGCTGGCACACACTCCAAGCTCTTGGGGTATAAGGCCCCCCCGACACTGTGCCCATTTCTCCTAGAATCCACAGCCCACCAGAGAACCACCCAGGCACACAGCTGAGTCACAGCAGAACTTGCCCTGACTCTCACTGTTCCTGTCCCCAGAACCAGGATGCCTTCCAGCCTCTAGTCCTCCTCCAAAAACAACACACTACTCAACATGGAGAGCTATTTATTATTAGAGAAAGCCCAGGGTCCAGAAAAGGGGAGCTGAACCCAGGAAGGGATGTACAGAGGAAAGCCGCATGAGCTGGGGGCCCCAGGAGGGTGTCCAGGGCCCAGGGAGCTCGTCTAGATGGCAGTGGCAAAGCCCACCCTGTTGTTGGCCATGTCGAAGACGGAGTAGTAGGACCTCAGGAAGACGTCCCCAAGGATCCAGTAGGGCTGGCCGTTTTCAGAGGACAGGTAGGTGGACTCGAGCCCCACCATGCAATACTGGTCAATCTGTTCAACAAAATAGTTGCATTTGGTCACTGGCTGCCACATGCACTGGGCAGCTCCCAGCCCTGAGCCCTGAGTCAGGGAACAGGTTCAGGGATGGAGGGAGGACGTGGGGGGGGAGTGCACATTTGTCCCACAGGTGCCCTCGACCATGCCGCACACTGGAACCTTCTCTTCCTGCAGGTGTCTTCCTGCTTATGATTAGCAGCCCAGCCTGCTCCAAGCTTGGAGCCTGACCAGCTCGGATGTGACCTGTAGCTTCACCCAGTTGAGCTGGGTTGGCTGAGCTCAGTTCTTTAACCTCTCCAAGTTCCCTGAGATTTCACCTGCACCCTCCTCCCACCCTGGGTTGGTGGCTCGGCCCCTGAGACCAGGACTCACATTGAGGATGTAGGCTGAGGGTGACAGAGGGAACTGTACGCCGCTGATGACGAAGGTCAGGGTAGGGAGGTTCTGGATGCTGTTACAGTCCACCATGTACTGCAGGGAGGAACGGGCCTGGGTCACTTCACAGACCCAAGGGAGCACCCCCCCCAAGCCCGCCCCACCTGAGCCATAAGGATGCTGCTCTCTGAACAACCCTACATAAATAACCTGGATCACGCACGCAGGGCTGTGCAGAGAGTGGAATTAAGGGAGAGCTGAGAATCTTCCCCACCCTAAAATGCTCCTAAACTTCCCCTCTGAGGGGCCGAATCATTGCCCTTTCTCCAAAAATATCCTTTGAAAGTACAGATGTGAAGCTGGTGTGGTGGAGCACACCTGTAATCCCAGCACAAGGAGGCTGAGGCAGGAGGATGGCCTTTAGAGGCCAGCCTGGGATACATAGTGAGTTCAAGGCCCAGCTGGACTACATAGCGAGCCGCATCTCAAAAACAAAACAAAACAAAGATACTATACAGATCTGAGCGGTGTACACCTGCAATCCTATTGCTCAGAAGACTGAGGGAGGAGAATAGCTCACCTGAGCTACACAGTCAGTTCAAGAGTAGGCTGAGTGGCTGGGGAGATAGCTCAGTAGATTAAGTCCTTGCCTGGCAAGTGCAAGGGCCTGAGTTCAATCCCCAGGTCCAAAAAACAAACAAACAAACAAACAAAAAAAAAAAACAACCCTGAACTACACAGAAAAATCTTGTCTTTAAAAGACAAAATTGGAGGACAGGTATATAGCTCAGTAGCACAATGTCCACCTAGAAAGTGTGGGGTCCTGAGTTTGATTCCTGGCATGCTAGCACTCAGGAGGCTGAGGCAGAATTGCTGAGAGTTTGAGGCCAGCCTGGGCTACATAGTGAAACCCTGTCTCAAAAAGACAAAACAGGGGCCTGGGAGATGGCTTAGTGGAATAAGTGCTTCCTTGGCAAGCACAAGTATCTGAGTTCAATCCCCAGTTTCAGAGGAAAAAAAAAAAAAAAAAGACAAAACAAAGTACAGATCTTTAGAGAAAGTGGTCTATTGGTCCCCTAAAGTGGGTGGGGTGGGGTTCACTAAGGGAGAGGATGGACGCTCTGTGGGGCTCAGGGTGCAGGCGTGGGCCTGTGGAGGTGAAGGAGGTCCCCCCACCCAGGACCACCAGCGCAAAGAAGGAGGCTGCTCTGTGTCCCCAGGAGAAGCCTCAAATGACACACCTCTCCGAACTCGTTCTCCTGGGCTCCTATGGCCTGCATCAGGGTGCTCAGGTACTCCTGGGGCACAGTGAGCAGCGAGGTGCCCGTGTCCACGATGCCCTGGCAGCCTTGGGAGCACCAGCCGGAGACCTCGCCGTCAAGGAGGAAGCTGTATGGGGAGCAGGCAGCAGCCTCAGGCCTGCCTGTCAGGGCAGTGGGGCGGGTGTCCCACCACCAAGGAGCCCTGGAGCCAGGCCCAGCTGGGGCAGCCAGGCCCCTGCATAGCCTGCCCAGCTGGCCCTGCCTCACACGGTCCTGGATGTGACTGAGGCCACCTAGAATTAGTTCTCAAAAGTTTCATGAACCAGGCATGAGGGGCACTTGCTGTCATCCCAGCACTCAGGAGGCTGAGGCAGGAGGATCACCTCAAGTTTGAGACCAGCCTGGGGTACATAGAGTTCAAAGCCAGCCTGAGCTGCACAGTGAGACCCTGTCTCCAAAGATAACACAAAAGCCCAGAAAACAACCTGAGATTAATCAGAAGATCTTTGAACAAATGAGTCCTCCACTTGCAGCTTCTTACCTGGGCCCGCTGCCCTCAGCACCAGGTCAACCCTACCCACCTGTCCTCCATGCTTCTGTGTCCCCTGTGGTCCCCCCAGCTCCCAGCAGTGCTGACACCCACCCCTAGGAGGACCACAGACTGCTGACTCACTCTTCAATGCCAATCTGCCAGTAGAGTGCCTCCGTGACGGGGGTCCAGGAGATCTCCCCCGAGTACAGGCTCTCGTCCACACCGCCCAGGATGAGCGCGCCCCCTTCGTTGGTAGTGTCCTGCTGGCTGCAGGGACAGGGAGGATGGGTCAGCAGGGGACTCTGCTCACTCTTAAGTCCCCCACCCCACCTTCTCCACCACCCCTCCTTCATGCTGCTGGTGAACTTGTAATGGGGATGGGGCAAGCCTGTTGCTTCTGTGCCAAAAGTGAAGGAGACAGAGCTTTGTGGGAGGGGAGGGAAAAGCTTTGCAGCGCTTCTCCAGGTCGGGAGCAGAAGAACTGCAAACCGGCAGAGAGTGAGGCCCCGGCATTTGTGGCAGGCGACAATGTAGAGTCCCTGCTAGGGAGGAGGCCAAGGCGTGAATGACAGCCAGCAGGAGGTGGAAGGTGGCCACTTCTCAAGAGGAAGAAAGCAAGCGAGTCTGCTGGCCCCTGGCTGGCCCTGGAGACTCCAGGTCGCTGTGAGCAGTGATCAAAGGAGATGAAGCCGCCGATTACCACCCAGAGAGAGGGTCGGTCGGGCAGCGCGGGAGCCAGCTGAGGAGCGCGGCTGGAGACGGCGGGGGTAGCTAGCGGGCTGGGCCACGGGCCGCCGCCTCAGTCGCGCGGGGAGACTGGGACGTACGTGGTCGGGGGGCTGCGGACACGGGCAGCCACTCACCTGCCCAGGTAGACGCTGAAGAGCGACTGCGAGAGGGCGCCCTCCCGCAACAGGCCCTGCAGGGCGGTGGTGGCGCCCCCTACCGACAGGCTGGGGTAGGCCAGACCCATGATGCCATCAAACTCAGCATAGACAAAGTTGCTGCCGGGCTCGTTTTCACTGAGGCCAAACTCCTGCTTGGGCACCTGGGTTTCTTGGACCTGGGGAAGGGGGATACGACAGAGGTGGTGACAAGTCTGATGGCACCCACCCTCCCCAGCCCATCTGGCAGAGGGCTGCTCTTCATCCTTCTTGTCGCAGCCCCTCCTGTTTGTTAATTTGTTTGTTTGAGACAGGGTTTCACTATGCAGCCCAGACTGGCCTTGAACTCAGAGCAGTTCTCCTGCCTCAACCTCCTGAGCGCTGGGACACAGGAGTGTACCATCATGCCCCATTTGTTTATTTTTAGACACGTTCCACTGCATGGTCCACACTCAAACTCTCCATCCTCCTGCCTCAGCCTCATGAGGCCTTTTGTGACAGGTCTTCCCCGACTGCCTTGGTATCACACCTCCATCACCTTCCTCTGTGGACTCCCCAGATTTAACCTTTGCGAGGAAAAGGACCACATCATCTGGTTCCTCAGGGTGTCCCCCCCCCCCAGGCCAGGCACAAGGTGGCCCGCAGGGTGTGGGAGCAGTGACTAGACATGGTCTTGTCATGCCAACTTCCTGTCCACAGGCTTTCAGGGGATCCTTGTGGCCCCCATGCCTTGCACACCCCTTGTTGCACTCACGGTCATTGTGTCGTAGCCAAAGAAGCCAGTGAGGCTGCCAGTGCCATACTGCAGGGAGAAGGTCTGGTCAGCAGAGGTGTAGGTAGATGACTTGCTGGGGTTGAAGCGGGGATGAGTGGCTGTGGGCAGTGGGGCATGGAGCTCAGGCTCTAGTGCTCTCAGGCCTGCAGTGACCCCTCCTTCCCCAGGACCCCCTCCAGGGCTACCAAGTCAGAAGGGCAGTGGGGGCTCCCATGTGGGATCAGGGACCAGGCCAGCTTACAGAGCCTGGGGCACGTGGGCTGTAGCCACCCTGTGGCCAGCCCGGACTCTGTGCCTGCGTCCCTGACCCCGGAAGACTCCTGATCAAGTGTGCACACTGTGGCAGGGTGAATGAGCCTCAGGGTGTCTCCTCACCCCCACTCTGCAGACACCAAGAAGCTGTGTCCCCACTTAGCATGGGCTGTGCCCAAGGAAGGGCCCCTTTCACCAGAGATATCAGGACCCAGAACCCATGGCCCTGCATGGCCCGGTACAGAATCGGCGGCCATCTGTCTCCCAAGTCACGACACGACAGACAGGACTGGTACTGTCCTGTCCTTTGGTGACCCTCAGGGACGTAAGCAGAGTGGTATAGAATGGGACATTGCAGAACAGGTGAGATGGAGTGGTGAGGAAATTGCTCATGAGGAGCAAAACGGCTTCACAAGGGTAGCTGATGTGGTGAGGTGGCCAGCATCCACACCAAGTCCACATTGGTCATCACAAGTCCCCGTACTCCTGAGGGTGAGACCCCCAGCACCCCACAGGTACTCACTGCAGGCCAGGCTCTTGCAATAGACGGATGGCACCCACAGGTTGGAGGAACCGGTGTCGAACAAGACCTGGAAGCTCTGGGGTGGTGTCCCAAGGCTGATCTCACCAAAGTAGGAAGCCTGGGGGCCATGGGGTGGCTGTCAGTGTCCAAAGGACCTAGGGCCCAGGCAACTCTGCAGCAGAGCAGCTGGGGAACCAGACCACCCAGCAGCCCACAGAGAACTGGTCCCCCCTGAGTCTCCCTCACACTGCCCCAGGGCAGCCCCTGGGGGCTCTGCAGCCCCAAATAGTGGCCGCAGGGAGGGAAGTGGCCATAAGTCTCAGGGTAGGGAGGTAAGGGCAGGGACACCCTGGATGGCGGGGGCTCACATCCATGTAGGTCATGGGCTCAAACAGGACGCTGTAGTCGCCGAAGTTGTTGCCGAAAAACTTCCGGGCGTGGTCCTTCTTGTGGGTCTTCAGGAAGTCCCCCAGCACGCCCTTTTCCCTCATGGTCTCTCGGATGGACTTGAACTTCCTCAGGGGGATCCTGCAGTGGCCGCATGTCAGGGTGCCCCCCATCTCCCATCACAGCCACCACCTCCCTGCCCCTCTCCCTGAGAGCCTCTTGTTGGGCGTCCCGGCCTCCATCCCCTCTGCCTCTCTTTCTTCCCCCTCCTCCTGCTTGCCAAGCTCTTCTCTGTATTTTCTCCAAGATTTAGGAGATTTAGGAAGCAATGTTCCTCTCTGGCACCTGCCTCGCCTTATCCCAAGCACCCTGCTGTCCTTCAGTAGCCTACAAAGTCCTTCCCAAAGGGATGTTGGACATTCTGCTGCTTTTAAGGATAACTATATTTTTTTGAGACAGGGTCTTGCCATGTAGCCCAGGCCAACCTCAACTTTATGACAATCCTTCTGCCCCAGCCTCCTGCGTGCTGATATTACAGGCGTGGGCCACCGCGCCCTGCTACTGGGAAGAGTGCATTAAGAAAAAAAAAAAAAAAAAAAAAAAAAAACACAGTTCTCAAAGATGGTAAAATCCACCCCAAAGACTGCACCTTGCTCCAGTGGCCCTCTGGCACTGGCACTAGCTAATGTAACCTGGGCCTGGAGCAAGGGAGACAGCACTTGTTCTGTCCCTACTGTGAAGCAGACATATGGCCTAGACCACCGTGGTGTTTCTCAGGATGCTGGGTCACCAGAAAGGTGGCCCCGGGAGCTCCAGAGCTCGAGCCTCTGAGTCACAGATTTCCCCACAGGCACAGTTGCCCTGGGCCATTTCCTTCCAGCCCTGTGGCCTCGTCGCCCAGGGTCTCTGCACATGACCAGCCCTGCTCTACAATGCACAATTTCTGCTGCCTTCTCTTCTTTCCCCCTCTGCATCTGAATTCTCTCTCATTTTCCAACTTTTCAGCTAAACTGTTCCTGCAAGTCGTGAAGACTGCAACCAGCTTGGTGACAGGTGAAGCTATTGAATTTACCAGGCAATGTTTCCGCCAGGAACCAGTTGTTCAGCTAAGGAATTATCAGCTTTCCTGGGTGTCCGTGGGCCCCAGGAACCCCTCCAAGTGCCAAACTCTGGATGGTCAAGATGGCAGATGCGGCCAGGTGTGTCGTCTCGTACCTTCCCACACCCTGTGCATACTGTGATCCAACTCTAGATTAAATGTCTGCTACAATCTCAGTCTACATAAGTACTCAAGATATACCAACCAGGCTTGGTGGTGCACACTTGTAATCCCAGTATTTGGGAGGCTGAGGCAGGAGGACTCCCATGAGTTTGAGGCCAGCTTGGGCTACATATAAAGACCCTCTCTCAAAACAAAATTGAATGCTCATAGGGCTGGTCAAATAGCTTAGCAGATTACAGCACCTGCAAGCAGGCACAGGGGCTGGGGGTTCGATCCCCCAGCCTGCCATGCCAGCTCCACCCCCGGGGCATGCTGAGATGCAATTGAGACTGGGCGTGGTGGCGCATGCCTGTAACCCCAGCACTTGGAAAACTGTAAACAGGAGAATCACTACAAGTCCAGTATAGTAGTGAACACCGTGTAGACCTTCCCCCCTCAAAAAAAAAATAAATAAAATAAATAAATAAATAAATAAATAAAATTGAATGCTTAATGCTCAATGACACTGCATTGTTTATGGGAAAATGACCCAAAATTGGATACCTATTCAATTACAGATATAAGGTGATTTTTGTCTTTTTCTTTTTCTTTCCTTCTTTTTATAATGCCTTTGGTTGTTAAAGGGTCTCACTATGCAGCTCGAACTCATAGTGATCCTTCTTTTAGCCTCCCAGTGCTGGGACTGCAGGCCTATGCCACTATACCCTGACTCTGTGGTCAGCGCAGCCTGCCTTGAGGGCGGGGCTGGCACAGCATGTGGTGCCGAGAATTGAACCGCGGTCCCTGTGCTTGCCTAACCTTGCCTAAGCAGTAGAGCTATCTCACTGGCCTGCAAGGTTTTGTTAAGAATTCAATCCAAGGTTGATTGTGTGGCTGGAGGCAGGCCCCACAGCTTCCAAAGGCCCTGGTGGAACAGCAGGTGGGTGGCAGGTGGGAGCCGTCCCCATGTCCCCTGCCTGGGCCAGTACTCCACCTCGAGTATCCTCCCAACACCTCAGGGTATGGAAACGCTGTTGTGTTTCTGCTCACATAATCTGGGTATTTTCCAGTCAATTTAGGGCCTTTAAGAAAGTTTTGTCTCTGGGTTGGCACACACCTGTCTCAGGGCAGCTGGGGCAGGAGGATCACAAGATTAAGCCCAGCCTGGGCAACGGAGGGAAACCCCATCTTGAAACAAAAAATTTAAAAAAGACTGAGGATGTAGTAAACTGTGGCAGCTCTGGATTCTGTCCCCCATTAACCACACACAAAGAAAAAAAAATGAATATTTTAGAAAGGACTATTTTGTTTCTTATCTAAAAGGAGATAAGCACGAGCCACGGTCACCATTCAGTGGTGGCTTGGGCAGTCATGAGCCTCCCGGTTTGGGCCCTTCCTTTCCTCAGCTGGGGAGCGCACTGTGCTGCTGCCCGCCTAGCAGCTTCCTGATGCCAGGGAGGGCTGTGTTACCCCCACTGCTCGGGCTCGGTCTTGCACAAGCCCAGCTAAGGAAGCCTTTCCATCCGGAGAGAAATTCTAGCACAGAGCCGGGGGCCCTGTTCCCACTGCCCGCAGAGGGCTGGGGCTCCCAGCCCAGCCCGAACCCCAGACTTACTTGATCTGTGCCGCCTCCAAGAGCGGCAGGCAGAGCAAGGCCACTATCACCCACTTCATGATGCTGGTTCTCAGCTGCTCGAGGAGGAGAAGCCACCCAAGTTCCACAGTGATTGTGGAGTGCAGAACTGGGTGCCTCCGAGTCCTTTATATCCCAGCCTGATCCCAACCCCCATCCTGGGCAATCGTGGCCCCACACCTGGGGGGTCCACGGGGCACAGGTATCAGTGGTTTCTGTGTGTCTTTCCCTCTGGAGCATGGCCACAATAGACTTTTCATCTTATTGACTTTTCAATTCAAGCAACGGAGGCCAGGAGGTACAGCGATAAGAGGGAACAAAGTGGCCGTAAGCTGGAGAAGTAGAGATTGCGCCTCATCCAGGAACTTCGTGTCCATCATCAGAGCCCTGATGTGGGCATTTGGAGGGGAGGCCAGACAAAGATAGGCAGAGCCAGAGGAGGGGTGTGGGGTCACCTGACACCTGGGGACAGGCAAAGCTGTGTCCTGGGCACTGTCCCATGTGCTGTGGGACGCTGGACAACTTCCACCAGATGCCAGGAGCAGCCCCTAAGTTGTAACAACCAAAAACATCTCCAGGTATTGCCTGTTGTCCCCTAAGAGGGACAGAGATCATTGAGAACTCCTGGTCCATGGGTGACACCCTGAAGGTCTGGCTCAAACCCTGGGCCTCTGCACCAGAGTGCTTGGGATACTTGGGGATGGTAATGGTGAGGGTGGTGTGGGTACAGCTGGTGCAAGGGTGCCAGGGGGCCGCGGCTGAAGTCAGAGTTATTTGGGGAGACTTTAGAGACTTTCAAGGTCAAACAGGGTATGGGGAGTGATCCCCGTCCAAACCGGCCTATGTGTAGCGCAAGTACAAGGTCAGCCACGCTGGCTTCTGGTTAGGCCTGAAGCAGAGGCATGAAGAGGTGCCGTCGCCTTCCATAACCCCCTCCCCACCCTGCTTCCCAGCTACAAACTTCCAACCCCTGGAGTGACCTGAAGCAGGGGCCACCAACCTGGCCCAGCGATGCTCTCCATTTTAGGGTAGTAGAAAAAATGCCCCACCAGCACCTTCTGTGCCATCTCGTAGCCTCACCCGGATTTCTTATTCCCTCCGGCCCCAGGCAGAAAGCCAGGCCTGGACCTGCCGGCCACCAGGCTCCTCTGGCCAGTTGGGGATTTTCTGCTCTGGCTACCACAAGAGCCTTGCCCAGCCAGAGTGCTGGAGCCTCCTGGGCCCTAGGCCGGCAGGGAGGGAGGACCCAAAATTCCTGGGCCCGGCATGGTGAGAGAGGTCCCTGCCTGTCAGGTGTCTGCGATCCCCAGAAGCACACTGAGCTCTGGGGGTGAGGTGTGGGAAGACTTCTCCCGAGTGGGGGACCCTCAGTTTGAAACAGCAAGAAAACGAAGTTATAGAATCCTTGGAAACTTCCGCAGAACCCCCGAAGTCATGGGACTTGCAGGGACCAGGCTAGCTGTCCCCAGCCCCCAGCCCCACCACATCCTGCCCTGCTCCTGAGATCTGCAGCTCCTGCCCACCTAACCTGACCTTCTGACCACTTGAGCAGTTCCCTCAGGGACCCCAGCCATCCCAAGTTCCCTCCCACCCCAAGCTCTCTACCACCTCCACCCCTCATAGCTAGGATGCCCACTTTCCTGCTTTCCAGGGATCTGCAGAGCCTGAGAATGCCTAGGAAGTCGTCCAGGGCCTCTTGCTACATGACGCAGGAGCCTGCGGAAGCCTGACTCCCCGGCTGCCATCCAGGTTCATCTTCTACTCAGACATGGGACACCTTGCTGTCCCATGTGCTTCCTCCTGTGGGCCAGAAACCTTCAGAGGACAGAGACAAAGGCTCTGTACACCTATCCCTGGCTCAGGGTTCCAGAAATTGTGAGTGGTTGATGGAGCCCTTGGGATTTTTTTTTTTCATTTAGTGCAGGGGGTGTCTACAGGGTGTACAGGGTCTCACTACGTAGATCAGACTCACAGTGATCCTCCTGGTTTCAGCCTCCCAAGAGCTGGGATTATAGGCTTGTGCCACCATGTCTGTCTCAATCTCTGTCTCAGCCTGCCCTGGGGGTGGGGCCAGCACAGCAGGCCGGGGATTGAACCTCCAAGCCCTGCATCTGCCTAAACAGGCACTTTAATCCGCTGAGCTATCTGGCCAGCCCCTTCTTGGGATGGTTCTTTTTTTGTTGGCGGAACCAGGAATTGAACTCAGGCCCTTGCGCTTGCCAAGGAAGCACTTATTCCACTGAGCCATCTCCCTGCCCCTTTGGGATGGTTCTTAAAGGGGGGGTTTGGCTGTACCTTCACTCCATTATTCCAGTCCTCAGATTCCCACCCTGTACCCCAGGGAATCCCTTGGGAGATCCTGCCAGGAAGGACTTCAGACCCCCTCTCTTCAACCTTTCGGCTCATTCTCTCTGAGCTTCACTTGCACAGAAACTCGAAGGCCCCTGGAAAGAAGTAGATAGCATCCAAGCTTGTGGTGGTGGCCTCTGGGGGTATGCTCAGCATGGTCTCCTCAATAGTTCCAAGCTCGCCTTCCACCGCTGACCCGTGCAGGTGCCTTGCTTTGATTCGGACAGACAAGTCCTCCAGGGCCCCTGTGCTATGGCCTCCAGCAACCCTCCCCCAAACCACCTCCTTGCCCAGCATGGAGAATTCCAAATTTCTTCAGTTAACAGCATCATACATCCCAGTGATTTGCCTCGGATCCTACAACTTCTAACTTAAAGAAGAAATATCTTCCTGCTTTTTAAAGAGCACAAAGACTTCTTTCAGAGCGTTCACAAAGTGACATTGGGAACTAGGAGTGACAACAGCATAGTATGGATACAGTTACTGCCCATATTCCACCCATCACAGGCATCACTAGTCTATCCTATAGCTCTTTCTTGCCCTCCACCCATGGCAGACATCATGAGTCTATCATTTCACTCTTTCCCACAATGCTAAGGACAGGATTCTTGAATTTGTCCCAACCTAGTGTCATCTGAAGCCTTCCTCAGTCCAGAAAGAAATGACCATCCCTCATTCCTCCAATGTTAAAATCTTATTTATTTATTTATTTATTTGTGGCCAGCTCAGCCCACCTGGGGGAGGGGCTGGCTGGCATGTGGTGCTGGCGGATCGAACCGCGGTCCCTGTGCTTTGCTAAGCTTGTTCTAAGTAGGTGTTTTAGACCACTGAGCTATCTCACCAGCCCTAAAAATCTTTTAAACCTTTGAATGCTAAGTTTAAAATTAAAATTCCAGTCAGGCATAGTTGCACACCTATAATCCCACCATTTGGGAGGCTGAGGCAGGAGGACCACTTCAAGTTTGAGGCCAGCCTGGCCTCCATAATGAGTTCAAGGCCAATCTGAAATACATAGTGAGGCCGGGGAGATAGCTCAGTAGAATAAGTGCTTGCCTGGCAAGCACAAGGTCCTGAGTTCAATCCCCAGACACACACACACACACACACACACACACACACACACAATACATAGTGAGACCCTGTCTCAAACAACAACAACAACAACAAAATTCTGTATACATAGCACTTAAAAAATCAAAGTGGGTGAGTTCAATTCCCAGTTCCGTAAAAAATAAAATATCAGGGTGGGGCTGGGAATTTATCTCAGTAGTAGAGTGTTTGCCTAACATGTGTGAAGTCTCAGGTTTGATCTCTAGTATTACAAAAAAAAAAAAAAAAGATTAAAAAAATCAAAGCAACGTAAAAGCACAGCTGTTTGCACCTTTCTAAATTATCTTCCAGCCCGTATTATATACACTTCGATTTTAAGGTGACTGCGGTCTGGGTGTAAATGTAACCTCTGTTCGGTTCTTATCACGTGAACTCCGGCATACACATTTTTCCATGCATTAAGATAGCCGCCTGCTTATCACCTTCGCGGTTCTGTGAGTGCCATCATCTTGGTATCTGGGCTTACCTTGGCCCCGCGCATTTGGGTTATTTCCAGTTCCCACTGCTATCAGTAGTACCGGGGCTTGCAAACAAAATCCTTCGGATGGCCCAAGGAGTAGACTAGTGCCCCACCCGTGACCAGGGCTGGTGGAGCAGCGGCAAAAGCAGCACTTCTCAAGGAATGCTGGGAGAGGGGTCTCTTACAGGCTTATGAGTTGGGGTCAAGAAGCTGAGCTTCCCCAGCCTATTCTGGTCCCTGAGCTTGTCACTTCAGCTCTGGGGATCAGTGCTCCCTAAAGCTGAAGTCTATGGCAGGTGTCTTCGTGAATTTTTAGTTGTAGTTTCAGCTGTTTTCTTGTCTTTTTTTTTTTTTTTTTCATTTTTTTATTACTTTTATTGAGAAACAAATAGCAATGAGACAGTTTCAAGACAGGTTAGCAGGACAGTTACAATAATGAATACATT